CATGGCTGCACAGGAGCTTTGCTGGCTCACCTACCTGCTGAATGACCTTGGAGAGCCGCCTCGTTCTCCTCCAGTGCTGTACGTAGACAACAAGGCCATGCTGGCCTTGTGTCGAGAGCAGCGCTTGGAGCACAGAACGAAGCACATTGCTCTCCGCTACTTCCTTGCTCGTGAGCTGCAGCAGCGTGGTCAGTTGCGACTTGCGTACGTGGCCTCTGAGGCCAACACTGCTGATGTGTTCACCAAGGCACTCGCGCCTTGTGACCATCAGCGCTTTTGCACCCAGCTGGGTCTTGTGCCTGTCTTGCCTCACTTGCTCTCCTCTTGACTTCACTTGTACTGTGACATATATATATACCTGCTCTTGTTTGTCTAGTTTTATATATATGTCTGTACTCCTGCATGTGAACTGGCCTCTGGCCCTGCTCTTGTGCTCGGACTGTGTGGTGACTTTGTGATCCACCCTGAGCTTGCTTTGCTTTGCTTTGCTTGACTGGTCTTGTGACCCCTTGTTCTCCCCCACTTTGCCTATGGGGGTGTGTCAGAGTATTATAACTGATGCATGTTTGTAGGCTATAGTGGGGTAGCACATATGGGGTACAGCTTTCTAGGGTTGTATTTGTACCCAACTCTGACTTAGTCATTTCATTCCTGTTCTCTTATCTTTCACAGCGAAACCCTCCGTCTTTTTTTGGTGTGAACAGGATCGGTGCGTCGAACGGTGACAAGCTCAGTCGGATAAACTGCTTCTCTAACAAATAGTCTAACTGCTTCCTCAGTTCGTCGAGCTCAGGCTGTGTCAGCCTGAACTGGCGCTTTACAGTTGGCGGTGCCCCCGGTTCTAACTCGATCCTATGGTCATGCGCCCGCTGAGGTGGTAGCCTTTGCGGTAAGTCGTCTGGAAAAATCCCCGGGTACCGTTTCAAAAGTTCCTGAAGTTCGGGCGCTACTGCTGCCAACAGTTTCTGAAAATCGCTCGGCTGCTCCTCTTCTTCCACTAATGCTATATCCACTGCGTACACGTCAGCTCCAGCGGCGACAACCCGTTTCATCGTGATGGCGTTGACGTGGACCGTTGAAGACTCGGGTGATCGCCAGCGAGGTAGTTCGACCCAGTTACCACTACTTCGCACGGTGCAGCTACCCGTCATCCAGTCAATTCGCGGGTTATACCGTCGCAGCCAATCACGCCCGAATAAAATATCGTGCCCATCCAGTGTCGTTGCGAGCATTTCCTGTGTAAACCCGAAGTTCCCTCCGCAGCGGACTTTTACTCGCTCCACCTTTTCCTGTATGGCCAGTGGCGTGCTGTCGACTAAGCGTGCGTCTATCTCAGGTAGGCAACGATTAAGTGTTAACTGTAGTTTTCGTGCGGTTGCGGTATTAACTAAACTGTGACTCGCTCCTCCATCAATAAAAATCTTCACTGCTGCTCCCTGTATTTTCCCGTGGATCAGTACTGGGCAATCCGTCGCTGTACCCTCCTTATTCATCCGAGCCCGATCGATGGCGTGAATCGGTACTGTGACTCGGTGAGGGTCGGTGCGGTTGGGCGAGCAGGCAGTCTCGTCAGTAGTTGGCCCAACTTCTACTGACTGCTGGCGTTTCCCTGCCTTGGAGACTCCCTCCCCTGCTCTGCTCCCCGGCGCCTCAGCTCCTCTGGGCATTCGCTCTTGCGATGGCCCGGCCTATTGCAAGCAAAGCAGCGCCCCTTAAACGGTGCGGCAGCTGCATTCGTTGCAACGGCGTGTACAGTGGCGTGCTCGGTCGGTCCCCGAGGGCGATGTCCGTAGTAGGACCCCGGTCTCGGTCGGCGTAGAATGTCAATTTTCTCGGCGAGCGCGAGAATCTCGTTGAAGTTGGAGAGTCCGCGCAGCATGATTTCGTGCGAGATATCCGGCTTCAGCCCTCCGACGTAACGGTCCACCCGCTCCGCTTCGTGCATGTAGCCGACCTGCTCGCAAAGTGCGAGAAAACCGCTCGTATAATCTTGAACCGACCCGAGCTGCCGCCAAGTGCGCAGTCTCTAACGCGCCGAAATGGAAGCCGCAATCGGCTCGAAGCGCGCCCGAAGCCCTGCGCACCACGCATCCCACGTGCTGTATTGGGCGGTCTCGCAGAACGAACTCCAGGTGACAGCTGGACCCGTGGGCCCTTCCTCGTGCGACGGTGGCTCGTAGGCGCGTGGTGACGTCACGATGACTCGCCACCAGTCCATGGCGGGGCCCCTTAGCAGTGAAATTGCATACCGAATCTTCGCGGCGTCCGACTCGACGTAGTTCGCGTCGAAGAAGACGTTCATCGTGAAGACCCACGATTGAACCGTCGGACCTCCACGTTGGCTTGGGTCGAAGCAGGGCGGGCGTTGTGGCTTGAGCGGCATTGGTGCCATAATGGCCTGTTCGCCACTTGTCGCCGCGAATTCCACATGCCGACGGGCTTCACGGGGCTCCCGCGGGCTTGGTACGACCCTGCTTCCTCCCATGCCAGGCATCGGCTGGGCGGCGCCATCACTGGCTGCGCCTGAGCGTTGTCCCATGCTCTCGTGTTGCGTTGGTGTGCCGGACGAAATGATGATCGACTCGTCCGATTGTGCAGATGCATTTGTCAGTGCGTGTGATGTCGCTGGAATGTTCACCGTGGATTGTTGACGGGCGGAGTCACGTTCCGCCGTGAGCGTCACGATTTCGAGCGCCGAGTCTTCAAGTTGGCGCACGAGACGATCAAGCTGCTCCTGCGTCAATGTGGCGAGCGTGAAATCGGCCATGGCGGGGGTGTTGGGCGAGCTCAGCGAGAGCCTCGGTCGTAGCCGTGCGTGCTTACGAGAGAGCACTACGAGCGGCGGTGCTGTATCGCTGAGAGACGTCTACCCCACCCAAAAAATTGAGATAGTGGGGAAGCGAAAATGTGGGTGCGGTCCGAGAGGAGATCGTAGGCTCTGATACCAAGTGTTACGAGTGCAATTGAGTAAATGAACGAGAATTGCACTATCGAAGCAAGAATCCAATGAGCGAAGGCATGAGCGAAGAATATATAGCGAAACTACAGTGGTAACGATAATGGACTGTGGTTGTCGCGTGACGGGCCTGGGACTGAGGTTTGGGAAAGTGTCGAAGCGGAGGCCCGGAGTGCGGGTTACCAGCCGAGCCGTGAGGTTGGGGTGCGATGTGCGAAATTGGCGGGCTGATTGTCGATGCGAGGGGCGCGAGTGGTAACGGTGCTGACTGTGGTGCTATAGTGATGTACGCGTTGAGCAGGGATGCGAAGTAAGGATAAGTGATTTTCCTTAGAATGACCCATTTTAACACCAATTCATGAACCATCTGACAACCGTCCCTCCCCCTCACGCGAGATTCGAAGAAATCTCTTCCTCTTGTCCTACATTCAAACCGCCGGCAAGTCATCATAACATGCTGAACATTTCAGCACCCTGGCCTGCCTTTCTAGCTTTGGGGATACGCTTGGTAATGCATGAAAGTGGTTCGGAATAGCGGGACGACCTTCTCAGTATTTTTAACGTTCACAAAACCTCAATACCGTGTGATAACCTCATAAACTTGCTTTCTTGTCCAGACTCCAGGAATTAATGCCACGTCATTGTAGCCTGTGTTCCTGCTGTCACCGCCTGTAACAACCGTCAAGTCGTCAGTCTAAGGACGACCGAAAGGTAACTGCCAGCTCGCCGATAGCCGGGAAAGCCGAGGCTGGACGGCTGTGGTCTCAGGTACATGTCCAGCCTCACTTTCTTCCCCCGGCGCCAGCTGGTTTGAATTTGACTGTAGCTTCGCGCCGCGCTTTGATGATGATGGGCTGAGCTGAGCCTGCTCTCCCAATTTGTGTACTCCAAATGCGGCTCGTCTTGACGGGCGAATCGCGATCGGTTTCGTACAATCCTCCCTTTCCTTCTCAATGTTGGCATTCCCATTTCGTACGTCATGAGACTTCCGTGGGCAACTAGTGCTGTTCTTTTTCGGTAGAGGTGTGACATGCCCAAACCGCACACCATTGGCCACTCATCAAAACACAAGCCCGGCCGCAAAAAACACGTGAGCAGAGCGTGATTGTCCATCCTCTTGCAGTAAATCCGTAGCGTGTACTGTATCACTGTTAGGTTTGTATCAGGTACGGTCGTCACGGCTATACCTACCGTACGGTGGTATAGTACTCGAAAAAACTGTCAGCACAACCAACTCACCTGATCGCCGGCGCCTGCAATATCTTCTTTCTCAAGAAACCTCAGCTTTACTCATTCCGGCAGGCCTGGATCTTGCGACCAATAAGCTGGGATAGCGGTCTGACATACCCTTGGACGTTCCGTTACCATTCGCATCCCCTAATACGTACATAAACGCGAGCATGTCTCCAATCATACTATGATAGCATTGTGCTTGTCCAACGTGAAGTGACGAGCCTCCATGAACACGCGCCGCCGGGTATCGCGAAGAGTGACGGCCTGCGTGGCTGATTCCGCTGTGGTGGCGCCGCGGCGCGAATGCATCGCGAAGGGTACTAGGATTCGAAGAATTCGTAGGAAAGCGCGCGACTACATGAATTTCGTAACGGGTACGCCATGGCTACCCTGGGCATGAACGACGAAATTCTTATTTCTTTCAAAGACCCCAAAGTTTGGGGTCACTGACCCGAAAAACAATGGCAAACGACCAAAACTATTTCTTTGCAAAGTCCTGAATTTATCCGTTGGTCTGTGGGATACAAATCGTTTTTTGTTTGTTTGTTTGTTTGTTTTTTTTTTTTTGCTTTTTTTTTTTTTTTTTCCCTTCTTCGCTGCGCTTACAGGCCTCGTCCAATGGGCATCAACCACGTGGCATGATCGCAAAGGCTCATCAACCGCAGACCTTCAAGGTCTAGAAGTTCCAATGGTCGCCCGCGAGTCGCTTTCCTGCCAGCAGCAGCAGCACCGCCGCCACCAGCAGCATCACCACCAGCACCAGCGGCAGCATCACCAGCACGAGTCGCACCGTCCCAGCGTTCCCCAAGCCATGGCTGCCGAAATTAGCGCCTGCTCATCCCTCGAGCTCCCCCAGCGCATATCGCGCACTCATCCCACAGAGGATCAGTCCGATGCCCCCTTGCCCACTCCAACCTCCGTGTCGGCCGCCCTCACAGCACCACCCGCATCCCCGATGTTCACCCAGCCACCCCTCGAATTCCCTTTGCCGGCTGTTGAGTTCTCTCTGCGTGAGCTGGCGGCCTGCACGCGTGGCTTCGGCCCCGATGCCATGCTGGCAATGGACTGGGCGGGCGCCGTGTACCGCGGGTGCTGCCACGTGGGCAAAGGCCACGTCGTTGCGCGACGTGGTGGAGGTCTGCAGTCAGAAGAGCCGGCGAAGGAAGCTCCACGTGGTTCCCCCGATGCGTCGCAGGCTGTGACAGAACGCGGTGCGTCTCCAGCCGACCTGTGTTGCTGTGCCACGTGTCAAGAGCTCACAGCCACCAAGTGCGTGAATCTAAGAGGCGGCTGCGCGAGGGTGAAGCGCTGGCGGTACCTGCCTTCCTCGTTGCCTCCCCCACCATCCACGTCAGCAGCTGCCGACGCAACAGGCAGCGGAAGCACGAGCAACGAGCAGGGACCGACAGCGCTAGATAGCATGCCGTCTCATACGCCTGAGGAGGCACAGAGCTCTGGAGACGTGGATTCTTCAGTCTCTGCAGGGAGGGAGATGATGGGGCGTCTGGCAGAAGCAGCAGCGTTGCACACGAACTTGCTGCCGATTGTGGGATTCAGCTGCTTGGAAGAGCTGCTGCTGGTCTTCCGCTCCAACCCCTCTGCCCGCTCCCTCGAATACGCCCTCGCAAGAGGTAGAATCTTCCGTCTTATATTTTTTCCCAATTGTGTTTCGTTTTGTTTCCTTTTTGTTACGAGCTTTCGTCTTGCGGAGTTCAATCATGGAATAGCAACGTGACGGAATTATTCGTTTTTACCCATCAGCCATACTAAACTGTTCCTCCCTTTCCTCCCCTCCCCTCTCTCTTCCATTCGCAGATGCAATGCTGTGTGGAGCGGGGTCCCCCTCTGCTCTCTCCTCCTGGTCCGCTCGTCTCTCCATCGCTCGTCAGATGGCAGGAGGGCTAGCTCACCTCCATTCCCACAGCTTTCTGCACGCATCCCTCCGTCCCGCCAACGTGCTTCTGCATGCTGTTGGATCAACGCAGCGTTGCAGCTCCCAGCTGCCGAGCCATCTTTCGGACCATGAGAAGCGGTGGTGGCGCCACCTGCTTCGACGAAAGGCTCGGGCCGAAACTGCTGCGCAGGTCCGGGTGCAGCTCGCGGATTACGGCATGCCCTGCCAGGCTCGGGACGGGCAAGGTTTGGAAGGGAAGAGCCTTGGGTGTGTCGTGTTCGGTGATGCCAAATACCTGGATCCTGCATTCATGGGATCAGGCCGGTACGGTACTACTAGTGACGTTTACGCACTCGGCGTCATAATGAATGAGCTTATATTGAGACCAGGATCATCCGGGAAAAAATCCGGCCAGCCAATCACAAGGCTCACTCGGAACTCATCAGCAAGAGCTTCAGATAGCTCGTCTGAAACAGCAGCCACTACTGCTGCCGCTGTCGCTACTGCCGCTGCTGCCAGGGCCTTTCCAGTGTCTCGGTCTTTTCCCGGACCACATGCATCTCCAGCCGAACCACAGCATGACACTGTAACGCAAGCAGATTCGGCAGCACCAGCAGGGGCACCACCAGCAGAGACAACAGCAGCAGCAGGCGCAGGTGGGGAGTCAAGCAGCACACGTGCCCAGCAAACCCCATCCCCTGCAGATACCTCATCCATTCCAGACCCCTCCTTGAGTCATCTCGCAGACCGGTTTGGTCCGGTGAGGTACCACCAAACGTCAGCGCTGGTGCAATGGTGTACTGAGCGCAACCCTGCCCACAGGCCGTCTTGCCTTGAAGTGGAGCAGCTTGTAAAGGGGATGGAAGGGATGAATGTGATGGGAGAGTTGAGGCGGAGGGAGATGAATGGGAGGAGGCTAAGAGGCCGGCAGTGGGCCTTGCTGAAATAGATTCTCTCAATTGTATAATTAGCTTGGCAAGGAGAGATGCATGCCCAGAGTTTGGAGTTAACAGTTTAGACTTTCTAAAATGGCACTGTTGTCAATATGTAGTGAAATGCCAGTTTGAAGTTGCTAATCACTTTCCATGAAACCGAGATGCAAAATAGTGAACCCAAACCCAACTTGAAAGGGCGCAGGGACGAGTTTGCCGGGCGAAACAAAGTTTAGACGGACTGAGAAGTTTGTACCGTTTCAAACGCTGCGGACGTGCAAATCAAACACCTTTGATTGGTTCCCGCCAAAAATGAGACATTTTCCTGATGTGTGGCGTCGCACTTCTCATTGCTAAGCCCGCACGACAATTGCACAGGCGATCGTTTCAGTCTGTCCAAGCGATTTGGGCCCAACTGATGTTTCAAGTTGGGATGGGGTGAACTACTACCAATTTTGCGTCGGAAGTTCTAAGTAGCTAGGCTAGGCATAGGCTATGTCTCAACTTAGGCCCTCGTTATCTACACATGTATTAATCAGAATGTCCGTCATGTTGTATCCGAAAGCTATGAGTGTAAGCTTTTCAGTCTGTCCCTTTGCGCCCGCGTTTTTCCGTCCCGTCGCCCACGCGATCTCCTATCGCCTCCCTTACCCACGCGATTGTCGCCGCCCTTCCGTGGCTCGTCCCGCTGCCTTCTCATCGCCCATCCCATCGTCCATCCCGTCGCCCATACCATCGCCCATCTCGTCGCCCATCCCGTCGCCCATCCCGTCGTCGATCCCGTCGCCCTTCCCGTCGCCCATCCCGTCGCCCCTCCCTCCGCCCTTCCTATCTCCCCTCGCCTATCCTCTCCCCCGTCGCCCTTTCCTTCCCCCGTCGCCCTCTCTCTCTCCCGTCGCCCTTTCTCTGTCACGTCGCCCTTTCTCTTTCCCGTTGCCCTCCCTCCCGTCGCCCTTTATCTCTCCCGTCGCCGATCCTCTCTCCCGTCGCCCTTCCTTTCTCCCGTCGCCTATCCTCTCTCCTGTCGCCCTTTATCTCTCCCGTCGCCTATCCTCTCTCCCGTCGCCCTTTCCCTCTCCCGTCGCCTATCCTCTCTCCCTCGAAACAGTCATCGCCCTTCCTCTCTCCCCTCCCGTCACCCACCTCGGCGCCCTGGCGCTCGCCCCGAAATGCCTGCCCGTCGCCCTTCGTTTCTCCCCTCCCATCACCCATCTCGGCACCTTCGCGCTCGCCCCGAAATGCCTGCAAGTCACCCTTCCTTTCTCCCCTCCCATCTCCCCATACCCTACCATTCCACAATTTTTGCTCAATCAGCTCTCTACGTGCGTCGTCGTTACCTTCTCGTTCTTCCTTTTTTTATTCCTAACATAAAACTCTCTGTTTTTTATGCATTTCTGCTTTTCCTACGCTGTTTGTGCCGCTCCAGCAGGTCCATGTCTGAGGCGTTTGTTGTGCGTGAATTGCACATGCAAAACCTGTTGAAATTGGCCCCCTCGTGTAATCGGGAATCGCACGTCGCATTTGCACATGCTTGCGACATTTTTTGTGAGAATCACTGTGAAGACTTGAACGTGTCTGAAAGACAAAACATAACAACGCTTCAACCGTCAAAAGCATTAAAATGTTAGTTTGAGATTTCAAGTGGACCCACTAGAAGGGGGGGGGTCACTAATTTAGCTGCTGGCTTTAACAGTTTAGACTTTCTAAGATTGCGCTACTGTGAATACTAAGTGAAATGCCAATGATACAGGTAGCTTTGTAAAATTACACTGTTGTCAATATGTAGTGAAATGCCAGTTTGAAGTTGCTAATCACTTTCCATGAAGCCTGTAAGGAAAATTCCTTTTCCTTACTTCGCATCCCTGCTCAACGCGTACATCACTGTAGCACCACAGTCAACACCATTACCACTCGCAATCCTCGCATCGACAATCCGCCCGCCACCTTCGCACGTCGCATCCCGACCTCACGGCTCGGCGGGTAACCCGCGCTCCGGGCCTCCGCTTCGACACTTTTCCCAACCTCAGTCCCAGACCCGTCGCGCTACAACCACAGTCCATTACCGTTACCACTGTAGTTTCGCTATATATTCTTCACTCATTCCTTCACTCATTGGATTCTTGCTTTGATAGTGCAATTCTCATTTGTTCCCTCACTTGCACTCATAACAAAGCCTAAAGACATGCTTCAACCTCACTCACTCGAACTGCATATTAAGCCCTAACAAAAATGTGTCATTACAAGGTTCTAGCTTGCCTTGATTTCCGCTCCATTCCTTTAACTACCAATACTACACCGAAGTGCAGTACACTGTCTACAGTTAAAATACTGCTGCAGGAGTGCTGTAAATTCATTTTATTCGCCTAACTCTCAGCAAACTCTATCCATATCAGAACTTCTATTGGTGGCCACATCATCAGCGAAAGTGAGGCCCGTTAGGCTCTGAAGTCTGCGCGCATGTAAGGGATCTGCTTGTAACGGGTTGAGTTCGCCGCCCTAAAGTCCCACTTCTGTTGTAGTGGAGGGGGGGATATAAGGGTGCGGCAAATGAAGGGGGTTAGGGACGGGGAGGAAGAGGCAGAGGGTACACGAATTTAACAGAGCAAGGAAGGAAAAGGTGAGAGTGGTGCATAGAGTGAAGACAGGGGGTAACAGGACAAACGGCAGAAAGGAGAGACGACCGAGGGGTGATATAGGGGCGGGGCAGGGGATGGGAAGGGGAGGAGGGAGGTTGTGTGGGGAGGAGAAGCCGGGGGGGGGGGGAGGGATGGGGGGAGTGGGGGATGGGGGGAAGAGTGGGTGGGGGGTGGGGTGGGGGGGGAAAGGAAGAGGGAACATGCCGCATGGCGGGCCGGGTGGGAGGGATGGATATTTAGGGGGCGCGGAGGGCGGGGGGCGGGAATGACGAGACAGGGAGATTATGGTGCCTTGCAAAGCGCAATACAAAAATGAGCGAGGGACAGAGCAAAGCTACTTCAGAGTGCAATACGACCACGATCGAGACACGACGACGGCAGAAAGGTTGATGAGTGGGGAACGAGAAGAGTGCGCGGAGTGTTGGGGGGAGGCCAAGGGAGGGGAGGGGGAGAGGGTGGGGAGGAAGTGGGGGGGAGGAGGGGGGGGGGGAGGAAGGGAAGGGAGGGAAATGGGGGAGACAGGGAGTGAATGGCGGAAGCGGAAAGAAGGCGTACTCATGGTGTGCGGGGCGTCATGCCCGTGAGCGCGGGCGGCGGGGGAGCCGGCGGAGTAGACGCCGCGCCCGCGCTGCCCGTTTCCGCCGGCGGTGGCGAGTCGCCGGCCGGATCGTCTTCCTCCGGCGGGGGTGACGGGGAGCCGAAAAAACCATCCGGTATAAGCACATCCGATACAAGGTGCACCTGGAGGAATTTCCCCTCGAACAGGTTCGGGGCTACGAGCGTGCTGTTCTCTTTTCCCGAGGGCGTTCGAAAGTACACCGTGAAAAAAGAGCTTTCTGCGGATTTGACCTGCGGCTGCCCGTACATTGTCGGATACTGGATGGGATCACAAAGGGGGCAAAAACCGAAGGATAACAGAGAGCTGCAAGTCAGGAAACAGCGAATGGTGACAAACCGCGGTGAATATATTATTGCGGAAACAGGCCTTTGCCACGGTTTCACAAGACTTGATCCTGATACACATGAAGCAGCTGCGCGACACATTACGCGAAAAAGGTTACCGAACCACAACGGTTTTCGCGAACCGTACCTTAGTCCCCGCGGGATCTTCGACGAGGTTGGTGTAGGAGACGAGACGGCCCAATACGAGGCAGTAGCGCAGGAGGCGGCGCATCGCCTTCTTGCTCTTCACCAATGGCGAGCCGTCGGGAAGCTCCGCCTTCGCCGCGTCGGGCGACGGCGCCAGCAGCGTCACCTCGTTCGACCGCCGCAACGCGCGCAGCAGCAAAGCAGCGACGTCTTGAGTTCGAGTAAGACGTATTCGCGAATAGATTGACGGAATGGGGTTACAAGGGAGAGAGGAGAACGGGGGAAAAGGGGGGCGCGGGGAGGAAGAGGGGTGGAGAGTGGGGGAGGGGAAGGAAAAAAAGGCGGAATGGGAGTGAGCAGTGAGAAGGTGAAGGGGTGGCATTTTGTGCTGCTGTTCCTACGGCATCCACTAACCACTTCATATGGCGCCACAGGCGTTAGCGGGAAAATTATTACCCAAGACTTACTAGCGGGCAGGTGCTGAAACAGTGGAGAACACAGCTCGTTCCGATCAGAACGCCTGTCGTGCAAACTCACCTCCTTTCCAGAACAGTCGCACGAACTCCTTATTTTGCGCGAGTAGCTTGACGACTTTCGCGACTTCCTTGACTTTGTCCATCGACACGGGCCCCGATTTGCTCGAGGGCCCGCCGGGAGGGGCGGGAGATCCCCTCCCGATCCACTTGCGGATTCTGTCGCGTAGCTTGGCTGACGCGGGCAGTGGACATGCCGACGCGAACACAAGTAGCAGCAGCAGAGACAACACGAGTCGCTTCGGCGCCGCCATTTCTTAGTGCAGCCTATTCAAAAGAGTATTGGCTGATGACCCCACTTATTTATTGATAGACAATATACTCTACTGGAACGTCATCCAACGCAGCTGTCACCAATAGCTGTCAACCTGTCTGTCAGAGCTTCCTGCTATTACAACGCTAGTCAACTTATATGAGTCGAGAAACGATGAGTCGACTCAAGATGCTAGTGTTGGTCACCGACCGCAGCACTGTCCGCTGCCGACACGACGTGACTGGCGAGACGAAGAAACTAATGTCTCGATTCAACTAAGAGGAAGAGCACGCGATCTAATCACGCCTCCGACCAGCGTTTCCGGAAGCTAAGGAAGACGTTACTTAGGCCTTACTTCTGGTCCGCTATCGAAACGGCTGGGCTGCTTCAACTAACGACCTACGGCCACCCCAGGCGTGACATAAAAGACCAGCGCCCTTGGTTTGCCCCGACTTTCATCCCATGCACATGCCTCTTATTCACCCCCCCCCACTTGTCCAGCACCGCTGTGCCGCAGTGCAGGTGCAGGGTTATCTGTTTTCTCCCTGGCCCTACCCGCAGAGCGGACCATTCCTACCCTGGTTCTCCTAAACGAGTGTTCTCTTACGCCGCGGAGAAGGCGCTCCGTTATTGTAACTAGTCTGAAGAGGAACCGATTGTGCGCTGGTTATTGCCTCCTGAAGAGGGATGTGATGTGATGTGATGTGATGTGACGACCAGCGCTGCTGAAGCGAAGGACGGTAAGCGAACAAGCGGAAGGGAGAGCCGCCAAAGCCGCTTCGTACTGTATGCTCAATGCGACGAGAGCCGTCCCCTGATTCCGGCGGAAGGGTGCTGTGCTGCGCCGTGCAGTGGTTTACGTCTCGTCTTTCACCCCCCAGTTGGTTGGATGTATGTTGACGACGGGAAGTACAAGTGAGCAGGTGGGTTTGGCGACGAGAGATTCGCCGCGAATCAAGGTATTCTGCGTCTCGTGAGGGATCGAACGCAGGGACCAACGAGATGGTGTGAAATGTGCGATTCGTTTTTGTGATTTCGAGTCGCGCATTCCGGATGGAGTCATACGTGCACGCTTCGACACCTAAGCGAGGCCCTTGTCGTAAATGTGGTTAGATGCAGGGGCGCGTGATATAGTCACATAGACACGTGTCGTAACAAAGCCTCTGCGATCGGGGCCTTCCCTATCTGACGGCCACGACAGCTTCAAGGTGTATTCAGCTTCTTTCGGACTTGGGAGAGCACATGCCAGCTCCGGACTAGCACGTGCGATCAACCTGTGATATAAGGGCGTGTCCAGTTCGTTCATTTCGGGTTTTTTGTGCCAACAAACGTTCGAGGCTCAAATATAATCACTGTACCTAAAAACGAATGCATTATGAGTTGAGTCAAACCTTCCTCTAATTTCAGGAGCGCGGGCACGTTCCCCGCGACACGAATCAACAGTGCTCTGATCGCTTTCGAAACGAGGTAACATTTTCCCTCGTCAATCATATCTAACCAATTTTTGGGCAGGCGGGGGGGGGGGGGGTGTTGGCGATTGTAGCGAGCTACTGGCGAAATTGTGCAAGCGATTCAGGGGGGACTACTGTAGTGGCCATGACGCGGTGCTGTACCCTTGTTCGCGTCCCCGCTGATACCAGTAACGTGAGTCAGACGATTCCAGGTACGTGCAGGGGGCGTGCCGTCTTGTGAACGAAAGCTGATTGTGTCCGAAGGACACGTTCAATACAGTGTTACAACAAAAAATGTAGTAACTGAGCGGATTTACGAACAGTAAATGTACGAGCTGGACACCCCCTAATTTCGACCAAACGTTTTCGATATCGGGGAGTGTAGGTGTCATATGATTATATTACTGATGCATATATTTAGGCTGTAGTGGGGTAGCCCATAGGGGGTACAACCCAATTAGGGTTGGTACTTGTACTTGTTTCATTTCATAGTGCACTCATTCTTCGCCTCTATCTCAACATGGTATCGAGCAGGTTCCCTAGTGGGAACTGTTCCTAGGGCCCACCTACTATTCCGTCCTGCCCGGAGCGCGCTCTGCCCTAGCCCGAGTCGCGCTGGGCATTTTTTTTCCTTTGGCGGCCCGATCGCGTCGAGCCGCCCGCGAATTTTTGACGCGCCACCTAGCGCGGCCTCGTCGCGCCGCCCCTAGACGGCCGCGCCGCGTCGCGCGTGCCGTCCTCCAGTCGCGCGCCGCCCCCCTCTGACCCTCGCGACGCCGGCGCCGTCTCTGACGGCCCCGCGATCGCCTGCGACGGCCCCGCCGTCCCCTCTACCGGCCCCTCCGCTGCGCTTGACGGCCCCGCCGTCCCCTCTGCCGGCCCCGCCGCTGCGCTTGACGGCCCCGCCGTCCCCTCTGCCGGCCCCGCCGCTGCACCCGACGGCCCCGCTGTCCCCTCTGCCGGCCCCGCCGCTGCTTCAGACGGCCCCGCCGCTGCACCTGACGGCCCCGCCGTCCCCTCTGACGGCCCCGCCGCTGCACCTAACGGCCCCGCCGTCCCCTCTGACGGCCCCGCCACTGCACCTACCGGCCCCGCCGCTACCCCTGACGGCCCCGCTGCTGCATCTGCAGGCCCCGTCGTCTCACCTGCCGGCCCCGCTGCTGTACCTGACGGCCCCGCCGCTTCACCTACCGGCCCCGCCACTACCCCTAACGGCCCCGCAGCTGCATCTCCCGGCCCCGCCGCCCCAGCAACTGCGCCGCCCCAGCAGCCAAGCCGCCCCAGCAGCCGAGCCGCCCCAGCAACCGAGCCGCCCCAGCAGCCGAGCCGCCCCAGCAGCCGAGCCGCCCCAGCAGCTGAGCCGCCCGAGCCGCCCGAGCCGCCGAGCCGCCCGAGCCGCCCAGCAGCCGACCCGCCGAGCCGCCCGAGCCGCCCGAGCCGCCCGAGCCGCCTGCACTGTCCCTGTCTGGTGAGCACTGAGCTTTACTCTGCGCACTGCCCTTACCCCACTGCTGTCATGGCTACCCCCAGTGTCCTCACCTTCGACGCTGAGGGCAGAGCCATCGACTTTGACGTGTGGGTAGACGACCCTGCTGCTTTTCTTACAGTGCGACAGAGCTGACGGCCTCTCTCTCTTTGATCTCACTTCTGGTGCCTCTCCCGCCCCTGCTGCTACTGAGGATGCCACTGTTCGCTCACAGTGGGCAACACGCGATGCTGCTGCACGTCTTGCTGTGCGTCGCCACCTCCCTCCCTCTGAGCGTGCACACTTTGGGTCGTACAAGAGTGCTCAGACCTTGTACGACGCCGTTATTGCACGCTACTCCACCCCTGCCACTGCTGCACTGAGCCGCCTCATGCTACCGTACCTCCTTCCCGACCTTGCTTCTTTTGCCACAGTCGCCGACCTCATTACCCACCTGCGCACTAGTGACGCTCGCTTCCGCGCTGCGCTTCCTGCTGAGTTCTGCGCCAAGAACCCCCCCCCCCAGTACTTCACTCCCTACTACATTGTCACCCGCCTCCCTGACTCCCTCCGCGGAGTCAGGGACGACTTACTCTCAGTCTGCCCCACCACTCTCACTGTTAACCTCCTCGAGAAGTCCCTCCTAGCAGCCGAGAAGAGCATTCTCGCTGTAGGGGCCTCTCGTGGTGACCCGCGCACCCCCATCTTTGAGGGGTGTTCCCCCTCCCCCCTCCTGCCCTCTGTCGCCTCTGCTGCTACGGCCGACCTAGTTGGTTTTGAGTCGGTCGGTGCGGCGTCTGCCCCCAGTGGGAGACGTCGCTCTTGCAAGGGCAAAGGGGGCAGGAGCGGTGGTGGAGGCGGCGGGGGCGGTGGGAGCGGCGGTGGAGGCAGCGCAAGAGGTGGGGGTGGTAGCGGGAGTGGTGTCGGGAGTGGAGGTGTCAGCGGCGGCGGTGGAGGCGGGGGTGGCAGCGACGGTGGTGGTGGGAGTGGAGGCGGAGGCGGCGGTGGCGGCAGCGACGGTGGGAGTGGCGGTGGTAGCGGAGGTGGTGGCAGCGGCGGCGGAGGAGGCGGCGGAGGAGGTCGTGGCTCGTCGCAGAGGAGTGGCTCCGGTGGCGGTCAGCGCCAACAGCAGCGGCAGCAGCGTGGTCAGGAGACCCTCTCCCCGCAGCAGCTCCGTGAGTGGTACGCTGCACGTCAGAGGGGTGGGGGTACTGGTCCGTGCACCTACGTCTTGCGCACTGGCGACCGTGCGGGTGAGCCGTGTGGTGGTCCACACTCCGCCCAGCGCTGCTTCGGCCGCCTGACTGACGCTTGGCGCCGCCAGTTTCCTGACGCCTCTGAGATCCCTCGCTGGGACCAGCTGTCTAGGGCAGGAGTAGCTATCTTTGATCTTGACTTTGATGCTATTCTTGCTGCCATGTATGCTGTGACTATTAGTGAGGAGGGTGACTGTTACCAGTGTTTCCTGCCCGACCCGGGCATTGGTACTGCGGCTCTAGGTGCTGTTGAGGCTGCTGCTCCAGGTGCTGGTGAGGCTGTCGCTCTAGGTGCCAGTGAGTCTGTGTCCTCAGGTGCTGGTGAGTCTGCTCTCTCAGGTACTGCGTCGGCTCCGCCCTCTCTCACCTTCACTCTTGACTCAGGGGCGTCTCGCTCCTTCTTTCGAGACCGCACCACACTCACGCCGCTTAGTCGGTCAGTGGCGGTCTCCCTGGCGGACCCCTCTAGGGGGTCCTGTTCTGGCTCGCTACTCCACTGTCCTGCCGTGCCCTGCGGTCCCATCTGGCGCCCTGTCCGGTCTCTACCTCCCCTCGTTCTCTACGAACTTGGTGGCGGGTGCTGACCTACAGGATGCAGGGGTCGACCAGTTCACCCCTGTACGCCGACGGGACACCCACTGCACGGACGCGGATACGGGTCGACACTTGACCACGTTCACACGTGGGCCGGGGTCGAGCCTGTACACACTCACTGTTCCGTCTCCTCCTCCTGCGTCTGGTCAGGTAGCTGCGTCGGGTCAGGTGTTTGCTGCAGCGTCCAGGTCTATTCCTGAGTCTGCCCCCTGCTCGTGTCGCCTCCTGTCCCACGAGACCCTCCTGTGGCACCACAGGATGGGTCACCCCTCCCTGCCTCGTCTCCGGGGCATGGCCTCTCGCCTTCTTGTCTCTGGCCTTCCGCGGTCCCTCCCTCCCCTTCCTCCGGGGCCTGGCCCTCCCTGTGACCCCTGTGTCGAGGGTCGCCCGCGGGCTACCCCTCACTCCTCCCCGTTTCCTCCGACGGAGGCCCCGATGCAGACGCTTCACATGGACGTGTGGGGCCCAGCCCGCGTCCGTGGACAGGGTCACGAGCGCTACTTCCTGCTGGTGGTTGACGACTACTCGCGTTACACCACAGTCTTCCCCTTGCACAGCAAGGGTGATGTCACTGAGGTGTTGATCGACTGGATCCGCGCAGCTCGTCTCCAGCTCAGGTGGAGCTTCGGCTCGGACTTTCCTGTTTTGCGTCTGCACTCGGACAGAGGCGGAGAGTTCTCCTCCGGCCTTCTGCGAGCCTACTGTCGGGCACGAGGCATCCGCCAGACCTTCACGCTTCCGGACTCTCCACAGCAGAATGGGATTGCTGAGCGCCGCATCGGCATTGTCATGGACGTCGCCCGTACGTCCATGGTGCATGCGGCTGCCCCCCATTTTTTGTGGCCGTTTGCGGTGAGGTACGCCGCACATCAGATCAACCTTCAGCCCAGGGTCTTCAGACCGGAGACCTCCCCAGCTTTGCTGTGGACGGGGAAGGTTGGCGATGCGTCAGCGTTCCGTGTCTGGGGATCCCGGGCGTTTGTCCGCGACTTGTCTGCGGACAAGCTGTCCCCTCGTGCTGCTCCTTGCGTCTTCCTGGGTTTCCCCCCTGACGCACCTGGGTGGCAGTTTTACCACCCCACTTCTCGTCGTGTTCTGTCCTCCCAGGACGTCACGTTCGACGAGTCGGTTCCCTTCTACCGGCTCTTCCCCTACCGCACTCCGTCCCTCCCCCCCCCGCCCCTCTTCCTGGTCCCAGGTCCCCCCCCGGTAGACCCCCTCCCCCCTCAGGGTCCTGCCCCTTCAGGTGTGTCTCAGGTAGACGCGGTCGAGCCTGTCGAGGTCACTGGTGACTCTGGTGCTGCAGCGAGTGCGGAGCCTCGGGGTGCTGAGACTGGGGGTGCTGAGACTGGGGGTGCTGAGCCTGGGGGTGCTGAGACTGGGGGTGCTGGGACTGGGGGTGCTGAGCCTGGGGGTACTGAGCCTGGGGGTGCTGAGCCTGGGGGTGCTGTGCCTGGGGGTGCTGAGCCTGGGGGTTCTGCGTCTGGGAGTGCTGCGCCTGCTGCTTCTGTTCCTGGTGGTTCTCCAGACCGTTCTTCGCGCCGCGAGCCGCTCTCTCCTCTGGAGCTGCGTGAGTGGTTTGCCCGGCACTGGAGGCGAGCTGCTGGAGCCGGGGGTACTGCGGGTGCTGGAGGTTTCGTTGCTGCCGAGGGAGCTGGTACCAGGGGTCCCGGAGGTGCTCGTACTGAGGGTACTGGAGCTACCGGGCCCGGGGGTGCCTCTGGAGCTGGAGCTGCTGCGGGTGCTGGCACTGAGGCTACGACTGTCGGTCCTACTGCGGGTACTTCTGCAGCTGCTGGTGGTGCTGGAGTTGGAGCTGCTACTGGTGCTAGTGCTGCCTCTGGAGGTGTTGGTCCTGTCCCTGCTGTCTCTGGCGGTGCTGCGCGGCCTCGGCCGTACTTCGTTCCGCTCCTTCAGCAGGTTCTTGGTCTCCCGTCTTCCACTGGTCCTTCTCCTCCCGTAGAGTGTCCGCAGCCTGTCCCGTCACGGTCACAGTTACAGCCCACCTCTCCTCTGCCTTCTCCTTCTCCCTACGCTGGTCCTACTGGAGGTCTTGCTGAGCGTCGTGAGCCTGCGTCCCGCCCTGTGTCGCCAGTCCGAGCTGCTCGCCCTAGTGGTCGCGGTTCGCGTCAGCGTCCTCCTCCTGTCCCTGGCACGCACCAGATGTCTCTGCGTCCATCCACTGCTCCTCTGCGTGCCCCTTTGCCTTCTCCTCCTCAGTCTTCTCTTCCTACTCTTGCCGACCCGGAGTCGGACTCTCACCGTGCTGCCAGTCCTACTGTCACGCGTCTTCTTGCTACTCTTGTCACTGACCCTTCCTTTGAGTCCGCTGCTGCGTCTGCCCTAGTTGCTGAGCTGGTCGACTTTGCTGCTGCGTGTCGTCTGGACTACGCTGCCAGTCTTGTTGCTGAGTCTGCTGAGTCTGCTTCTGCTGCGTCTGCGTCTGCCTGTCCTCCGTCCGTCGGGGGTGACTGTGCTCTTGGCACGGACGTCCTTGAGGACAGGCAGGAGGAGTTCCAGTGCTTTGCCGCCGCTTTGCCCCATCTCGTGTCCATGCTTATTGCCCCTGAGGGAGACCCGGATGCTCTAGACATCCCGACCCCACGCTCTTACGCAGAGGCTATGGCCGGTCCCTACTCCTCTCAGTGGCAGTCAGCCATGGACACAGAGATGGCTTCCTGGAAGTCCACAGGCACCTACGTTGACGCTGTTCCCCCTCCTGGGGCGAACATTGTCAGTGGCATGTGGATCTTTAGGGTGAAGCGGCCGCCGGGTTCTCCGCCTGTCTTCAAGGCGCGCTACGTGGCTCGTGGCTTCAGTCAGCGACAGGGAGTTGACTTCTTTCAGACCTTCTCCCCGACCCCGAAGATGACCACTCTTCGGGTTCTACTGAACGTCGCTGCTCAGCGTGACTACGAGCTACACTCTCTTGACTTCAGCACTGCTTTCCTGCAGGGCCGCCTGCACGAGGAGATCTGGCTGCGCCGCCCTCCTGGCTTCACTGGGTCGTTCCCTCCTGGTACCCAGTGGAGCCTCCGGCGGCCAGTCTACGGTCTCCGCCAGGCGCCACGTGAGTGGCACGACACACTGAGGACTACACTTGCGGCTCTTGGGTTTGCTCCTTCTACTGCTGACCCGTCGCTGTTTCTGCGCACCGACACCTCGCTGCCGCCGTTCTACATCCTCGTGTACGTCGACGACTTGGTCTTTGCCACTGCGGACACTGCCGCACTCGCCCACGTGAAGTCCGAGCTGCAGAAGAGACACACGTGCACAGACCTGGGTGAACTGACAAGCTATCTTGGCTTGCGGATCACCCGGGACAGAGCACGCCGCACCATTACCCTGACTCAGTCACACATGGTGCAGCAGGTCCTTCAGCGCTTCGGCTTCACGTACTCCTCGCCTCAGTCCACTCCTCTGCCTACGGGACACTCGCTCTCAGCTCTGCCTTCGGATGAGTCCGTAGAGTCGAGTGGTCCGTATCCAGAGCTTGTGGGCTACCTCATGTACCTGATGACTTGCACTCGACCTGACCTCGCATACCCTCTCAGCATCTTAGCACGCTATGTTGCTCGCGGCCGTCACCGGAAGGTGCACTTGGATGCAGCTAAGAGGGTGTTGCGCTACTTGTGCAGTGCGTCGGGCATGGGGCTAGTGCTTGGAGGGCGTGAGCGGCCTGTGCTCACTGGGCACTCAGACGCTTCTTGGGCTGACGACCAGGCTACTCAGAGGTCGTCTCAGGGTTACACCTTCAGTCTTGGCTCTGGCTCTGTCTCTTGGCGCTCTACTCGCTCTTCTTCGGTTCTCAGCTCCAGCTGTGAGGCTGAGATCTACGCCACGGCCATGGCTGCCCAGGAGCTTCGCTGGCTCACCTACCTGCTGACTGACCTTGGAGAGCGGCCTCGTTCTCCTCCAGTGCTGTACGTCGACAACAAGGCAACCATTGCCTTGTGTGAGGAGCACAAAGTGGAGCACAGGACGAAGCACATTGCTCTGCGCTACTTCCTTGCTCGAGAGCTGCAGCAGCGTGGTTAGCTTCGCCTGCGTTTTGTGGCCACTGAGGCCAACACTGCTGATGTGTTCACCAAGGCACTTCCGCCTCGTGACCATCAGCGCTTTTGCACTCTGCTAGGCCTTGTGCCCACTCGGCCTCACTTGCTTACCTCTTGACCTTGCTTGTACTCCTGCATATATATATCCTTGCTCTTGCTTGTACAACTTCTGCCTTTAAAGCCCAAGACCTGAATTACTCAACGGAAGTCAACGCTAAAAACTAGGTTCGGGAGGCAGGCACGGAGAGGTTCGGTTGGGAGTCTTTCACTCGCGAAAAAAGTTTCTCGCTTCCCATGATGGTTCGTGTCCTTCCCACAACCAGAAAAGCTCGAGCATATCAATCTGTGCACAGTTTGAGATAGCACGCAGAGTATTAGGCATAGACCATACCTCGAGACAGGGCAGGGCGTCGGCGTGATAAGAAACGAGGAATGAGAATGACTAAGGGAAAGTTGGGTACAAGTACTAACCCTAGAAATGTGTTGTACCCCATATGTACTACCCCACTATAGCCTACATAGGCTAAGTCATATAAGTCTGACACGGCGTTCACTCAAAAGGGATCAGATGCGCCATACAATTCGGGTGGCGCGGATTTCAATGATGACGTGCAAAGCTAGTTTTCGCTGGGTGAAGATTATTGTGTCGAAATGCAGGTTATTGTGCAACTACTCCGTAGCATAAACTCGTGGCGAAAATCGAATCGCAACCGTTCGCCCTAATGTGACCCTCTCCTCGCCCTCGCTTTCCTTTCTCACGCTTCCGCTCTCTTTCGCCCGCGTCGTCGCCATCGCTTCCGCAGCTCGTCGCGTGCCTGTCGCCTTCGCTCCGCCCGTCGCCTTCACTTCTCCCCTGTCGCCTTCACCCCCCCCCCCCCTCCCCCCCCCTCTTCCGTTGCCTTCATTTCCCCCTCCCGTCGCCTTCACTTCCCCCTCTCGTCGCCTTTACTTCCCCCTCTCGTCGCCTTCATTTCCTTCATTTCCCCCTCCCGTCGCCTTCATTTCCCCCTCCCGTCACCTTCACTTCCCTCTCTCGTCACCTTCACTTCCCCTCCCGTCGCCTTCATTTCCCCCTCTCGTCGCCTTCATTTCCCCCTCCCGTCGCCTTCATTTCCCCCTCCCGTCGCCTTCACTCCCCCCTCCCGTCGCCATCACTTCTCTCCCCCGATGCCTTCGATTCCCCCTCCCGTCGCCTTCCACGTCTGCCACAATCGCTTCCCCCCCGTCACACTCGCTTCCCCACCCGTCACCTTCACTTCCCCTCCCATTGCCTTTCACACTCTCCTGCTCACTCTCCTGCTCACTCTCTTCCCCGCTGCTCACTCGCTTCCCCCCTCCTCAATCTCTTTCCCCCTGCTCACTCTCTTCCCCCCTGCTCACTCGCTTCCCCCCTCCTCAATCTCTTTCCCCCTGCTCACTCTCTTCCCCCCTGCTCACTCGCTTCCCCCCTCCTCATTCTCTTTCCCTCTGCTCACTCCCCTTGTTCTAACCCCACTTTCCCCATTTCTCACCCATTTTCCCCCTTCACGCTCTCCTACCCCCTCTGCTCGCCCCTGTTTTCCCTACTCACTCCTATACTCACTCTCTCCCCCCCTGCTCACTCTCTTCCCCCCCTGCTCACTCTCTTTCCCCTTGCTCACTCTCTTTCCCCCTTCACGCTCTCTTTCCCTCCCTTCCGCCTGTTTCCCCCCTTCGTCACGCGCTCGTCCCCTCGCAATCCCTGTCTCTCTCTCCCCCCGTCGCCCTCCCTTCCACTCCTCGTTGCCCTCGCCATCCCTCCCTTCTCCCTTCCCATCTCGCACACTTGTCACGCCCCCTTTCCAACCCGCACATACACCCTTCCCTTCTTCCCTGTTTCCATGTATCCCCTGCGCTGCTTCCCCCCATCCTCCAACTTGCTCCCCCCATCCCCTTCCCTGCTTCCCCTCGTCCCCTCCCTTGCCTCTGCCCATCCCCTTCCCTGCTTCCCCCCAACCCCTTCCCTGCTCCCCCCCATCCCCTTCCCTGCTTTCCCCCTTCCCCTTCCCTGCTTCCCCCCGTCCCCTTCCCTCCTTCCCTCGTCCCCCTCCCAGCATCCCCCCATCCGCTTCCCTGCTCCCCCCCATCCCCTTCCCTGCTCCCCCCCATCCCCTTCCATGCTTCCCCCCATCTCCTTCCCTGCTTCCCCCTATCGCCTTCCCTGCTCACCCTTTCTCCCTCTGTTTCTCCCTTGCTCCCTCCCCTTCTTCTCTGCTCACTCTCTTCCCCCTTGCTCATTCTTTTTACTTCTGCTCACTCTGTTCCCCCTTGCTTCCTCTCTTCCCCTCTGTTCAATCTGTCCCCCGCTGCTTCTTCTCTTCCCCTCTGCTCATTCCGTTTACTGTCTTTCCCCCTTCACTCACCCCCATACCCCCCAATGCAGTTACAGGTGCCCAGCACCAGATGTGGCTTTACGGCCTGGTTTGTTGCTTGCAGTGTAGCAGACAAAACCGGGAAGCAACATTACACATACACCCCCTAGCTTTGTTCCCTTCTCGAGTCTGGTGATTCCCCTTACTTAACAGATACGGTAATATATTTATTGTTGAACTCCTTGGCATTGGTCGTGTGTATGGCTGCTCTGAGGCTGATAATCCTGTATTATAAAAAATAATACAATACATGGCATGACTATTCGTTGTGTTACTATCAGACAGCCAGCACATGCACAACCAGATGCAGTGCAGACCTGTCCAAACACAAACCAAGAAGTCAGATTTGACATGGCTGAAGTATAAGGGAAGCAAGCATGCAAAAGAATGACAACTGGCAAATGAGGAAGGGAGGAACGGAGGAAGGGACGAAGTGAGGAATGCAAGAATGAAGGAAGGGAGGAAGTGATGATGGGAGGAAGGGAGGTAGGGAGGACGCTTGGGGGAGAAGCAGAAGGGAGGGGAGGAAGAGAGGCTGGAGAGGAGGGTGGGGAGGAAAGAGGGTGGCAGGGAGGAAAGAGGGTGGCAGGGAGGTAACGAGGATGGAGGATGGGGGGAACAGATGGAGGTGAGGTACGGTAGATGGGAGACATGGAGGAACGGGGTGGGGAGAGGAGGGAATGAGAAAACGATGGGTTTGGTAGAGGAGGGATCGCGAGAGGAGGGATAGGGGGAGGAGTTGGGGATAGGATGGACGGGGAGGAGGGGATGGGTATAGAAAGGGATGGATAGCGGAGGTGGTGAAGAACGAACCTTTTGGCGAGGCGGAAGATGGGAAGAAGCACGGAGGAGAGGGGACGGGGTGGAGGTGACGGGGAGGTCGCGGGATGGGGTATGACCGTATGGTGTAATGGTGAAAGTTGGCAGAGGGAATGATGGGATCGGGAAAGGAGGGACGGGGGAAACGAGGAAAAGGGGATGAGAAGTAGGATGGCATGGCGGAATGGGGTGGGGCAGAAAGGGGTGGGGCGGAATGGGGTGGGGCAGAAAGGGGTGGGGTGGAATGGAGTGGGGCAGAAAGGGGTGGGGCGGAATGGGATGGGGCGGAATGGGGTGAGGCGGATTGGGGAGATGAGGGATGGGGAGATGAGGGATGAGGAGATGAGGGATGGGGAGGTGTGTGATGGGGAGGAGAGGGCTAGGGAGGAGAGGGCTGGGGAGGAGAGGGATGGGGAGGTGAGGGATGAGGAGATGAGGGATGGGGAGATGAGGGATGGGGAGATGAGGAATGGGGAGATGAGGGAAGGGGAGATGAGGAATGGGGAGATGAGGGAAGGGGAAATGAACGTGTATGCGACGGAAGGGTGCTGCTGACCACGCGGCACCCTCCCACACCCCACGCGATGGGAAGGGATGAGAGGGTGGGCGGCATGGGTAGAGAAGCGATGGTGAAGAGGGGGAACGTGATGGGCAGGGGAGTGATGACGACGCGGAGAGAGGGAGGAGAGAAGGGAGGTCGGCGGGAAGGCTAAGCGAGGACGATGGGAGGGCAAGCGTGGGCGACAGTGGCGGTGGGCGACGGTGGCGTGGGCGACGGTGGGGAGAAGCGTGGGCGACGGTGGGGGGAAGCGTGGGCGACAATGGGGGGAAGCGTGGGCGACGGTGGGGGGAAGCGTGGCGACGGTGGGGGGAAGCGTGGGCGACGGTGGGGGGAAGCGTAAGCGACGGTGGGGGGAAGCATGGGCGACGGTGGGGGGAAGCGTGGGCCACGGTGGGGAAGCGTGGGCGACGGCGGGAGGAATCGTGGGCGATAAGAGGGGAAACGTGAGGGAAGGTGGGGAAAGGCGTGAGCGACGGTGTGGGGGAAGGAAGGAGGAAGCGTGAGCGGCGGTAAGGGGAAGCGTGAGCGACGGTGGGGGAAAGCTTGGGCAACGGTGGGAAGAGTGGGCGTGTGCGTGGGGAGGTGTGTGAGAGACGGTGGGGAGAAGCGTGGGGGACGCGGAAGGGGATAGGTCCAAATGCGATGTTTGGGAAAGGGCTAGGAATAAAGGTGAAAATGCTCATGGCCTATGCTTTAGTGGCGTTTTATTCTATCTCTTCGCATGCTCCGCGTACTGTGGAAATCACACGACCTGATTTACCGAAGAAGTCAAACTGTGCACATTTTGAGCCCTTGTTCCTTCAGGAGGGTGTGGTTGGGACTCTTGCCAACCAAACCCGTTCTGCTCTACGACTCCGTTTTTCTTCGCGCAATGTTTTCTGGTAACCAGCCTGGCTCGGGAGGTCAACTGTGGGTTCGGTAGGCAAACTGTGCACAGTTTGCCTTCCTTTTTTTGTAATTCAGGTATTGGGCTTTAATAAGAGTCCTCCTGAACATCTAAAATTGTTATACTTAACAAGCCGTTCAACTTTCTGGCCTAACCTGAAACGCTGTCATCACTCTTTATTCGGTTCAAATGTGTTTCCTATCTATCTATATATACACAGGGAGTGGTGTACTATCCTATCTGCAATGACTATCTTACTAAATATCACTACATTATTAAATGAATAGAGCTCTTCACAAAGTTGACAATAGCACCACGTAACGATTCAGAAGGCCGAATAACTTGCCCTTTCAATGGCTCCAACGTCAGTGAGTCCTCGTCGTCGATATCCTCCTCATAAAACGCTGGCATAGTGTAGTCTGCGTTTCCCATGCTCCATTCATGCTCAGTCCAGCGCGGTTCTGGGTCGTCTAAAAGCATGTGGTCGTCCACAATAGACGCGAGGTGCTGAGACTGCTGCTGCGTCTCGAGCACGGCCAAAGCAGCTTGCCGTATCCTCGAGCGCGCGTCGTCGATCCAGACAGGGCTGCACGCCTTCTGTGCCTCCAAACAAGCGAGCCTCGCAGAGGACGCTTCGTCGCAACGAGCGGGGGTCGTCGCCGTAGCGATTGATGAGCCCATGTTCGCCATGCTCGACGCCTTTTGAGTCGCCTCGAAACACGCTTCGCCGCATTGAGCGGGGGTCGTCGCCATCGCGCTCGATGAGCCCATGATCGTCAGGTTTGACGCCTGCGAGCAATCGAGCTCTGCCATCGGAGCAACGCCGCCGCCATGACTCATAGCGCGGCTTCCCGAGGTTTGGAGATCACACATTGTCCGCGAAAGTAAAGCCGCTGCGACCGTTCCATTACTAAAATCAGAAGAAGGAAGATTACATCGCGAAGACGAAGTTCCTCGACGGGCATGTTTCGCAGTATCACCTAGTTGTGTCGCGGCCATGGATTTAGTGAAAGCGAGAGGTAGACGCGTCCAGCAAGGAAAAGGCTTCTTGGAGTCAGATAGAACAGCCGCGGGGAAAAACAAAATCTTATCGATGCTAAGGAGCATATCTACGAGCACGTCGCTGCACAATCCCGGGGACTGCGAGTGCTTCTGTTGGACCAAATTGGTTGGGACGGATGCATTCGGGTCGGGTTGAACGGCTGACTTGGCATGGTGGCGGGAAATGTTCAGGTGCGAGGGCAGGGCGGGACCTCACTCACCGAAAAGACGGGAGGGGCATGAGATACAACGAAAATGCGGTTTGATGAGGTTTTATGCGTTGTCGAACGGTTTTTAGGAGAATCTATCTCAACAACATGCCCCTGCTTCGAGTCCTTCCGCTGCGCGTTCTTGCCTTGTTGTCCTTGGCTCGGCCTCTCTGCTCTGCTAAAGAAAAACCACTCTGATCCGATGCGGATTGAAGCCATCACACACAGCCGTTGAACAGATCGATACGTGTAAAACGATGCGCTGTCTGCGCATGCTTGCGGAAGCAACGGGGCAACCAAGTAGCATGGTTCGTCGTGGTGCGCGACCATGTAGAGCGCAATCATTTCGGTCTCAGCATGCGCTGCAGACCAACCCATCCTGTGTTGTTGCATCCGAATGTTCAAACTTTTCTTAACTGAATTTCATTCACAAGCAAAACCAGTTATTGGAAATTTGAAAATTTTGAGCCAAATTGTTTACCAATATGCTTGTCATAGAAACTTGTCTAGATATAGAAATGCTGCATCGACAGACCGGCATAAACACAGCTCTCGCAATAATAATGAGGACTGTTCATCACATGGGACCATCGGCATCCGCGTCAAAATCAGGTGCGGAATGGAACCAGCTGCTACTGTACATGATGCCCCGTGAATACACGAGTGTACTGTCCTAGTTCAGGCCGATTGGATAGGGTCGGGTGGATCCCCTCGTGTCATTTGGAGCCTATTGGTCGATATCTGCTCGATTTTGCAGAAGGGGCTGAATTTCGGGACCGCGTTATCGGACCAATGGCGAAAGGCCAAGTCCTCGAGAGGTTGGGGCAAGAGACGAAATGTGAACAGAAAGAATACAGTAGGAAGAACGTCATTCAGCCAAACACGCGGACATGAAGAACAGCGCTACACTTAGACCAATCGATGGTGATCTCAGGACATTCAAGATGTAAGAAGGGTTATGTTATAAAACAGACCAGATAATTGTTATCACACAAGAGATGCCCATGCAATGACTGCAGGAATTTCCAGCAGCTCTTTGTGAACCTTCCACAACGGCACATCAGGAATAAATGAAAAAAATTCCATGCCTCCCTGTATCCATGCCCATCTACACCTCAGAATCAGAGTCAGTGCATGATTCCTCGTGAGTTCTGTTTCTTAGGCGCCTCAAAATAATGCCCATCTACACCTCAGAATCAGAGTCAGTGCAGGATTCCTCGTGGAAGGCGTCCATGCCAAAAACCTGCACTGCACGACCCCTTGGAGCTTTCACTGACATGCACTGCTCTGACAGTGAACAGCACAACTTGGCACGAGACACAGTTGGTTGGAGCAGCTTTTGAGGCGCCAGAAAGATGACGAAACAGCAGAACTTAGCAAAAGATGGGGCTGAACCGAGCACCACCCACCCATGCCTGCTTCTGCGCGGGCATGCTACCTTATTACCATGCACCTCCTCTGTGCCCGTAATCAATCAGACAATCAGTCAGTTGCTGACGCCTGATTTAGGGTCTTGTAAAGTAGCAGAAGCAGCAGGAGTGGCTGTGACTGTTCACACTTGTTGATTTGCATCGAAGTGGTACGAGCACAGCAGCAGCAGTTGCGGTTCACAGCAGCACAGCTCAACACTGCTGCAGCTTGAATGGATCGCATTAGTGCCACCCAGGCTGCTTTGATGGCGGAGAGCAATTCTTGGTAGGCGATGGGCTTGGAGACAGTGCCGCCTTTTGAGACGTCTCAAAACTGGGCTTGGAGAGAGTTCCATCCATGCCCGCCTCCTTGCAAGCCTGCCGAACCCAATGTTTGAGGCGCCTCAAGTTGCTTCTACGGATCACAGCAGAGTGACTCCAGCTGCTTTGATCGCCGAAAGCAGCTCTTGGTGGGCGATGGGCTTGGAGAGAGTGCCATCCATGCCCGCTTCCTTGCACGCCTGCCGAACCCGCGTGTCCACATCCGCTGTCAGTGCAAATATCAGCTGCCTGTGTGCCGGGCTAGGTGCCTCTGCTACCGCTGCTGCTGTTGCTGCTGTAGACTCTGTTGCTGTTCCTGCTGCACCTGCTGTGGCATCAGCCTCTCCTGGAGCGTCAAGATTCAGCAATGGCAGGCCGCCAGGGTGGAAGGCAAACGACGGCTGGGATTGAAGCTTCAGCACAGAGGAAAGAGTGGAAGAGGAGAAGGTGACGGTGGTGCTGCCACTGCCACCGCTGCCACCGCTGCTGCAGCTGGTGCTTGAGGTGGCGGTGGTGGTTGCAGCAGCGGGTGCTGCAGTATCTGCTGGGAACAGGGCGCGAATTCGCCGAGCAGTCTCGTACCTGTGGGTGGGTGACAGGGGTGGAGGGTAAGGGCCGCGTAAGCGAGAGATTGAAATCTGATTCTTGAGTAGCCTTAATAATCATCTGGAGACCATACTAGCATACTTCTCAAAAGTGATTCCAGTTTACTCATGCATCACAGGAACAGTGGCCAAAGGTGTTAGGAGGGCGACCAGAGGAGGGGAGACCAAATGGTGGATGACGGAAGAGGCAACCACCTGTGTGCATGGGTGTGGTGTGAGAAATTTAGATTGAGGCGCTTCAGATAACACTTACCCGTCGATGCCCGGGGCCATGTGCAGGTCAATCAGAAGCACGGCAAATACATTCGGGCTACTTAGTCTCTCCAATGCCTTCTCCCTGCTCTCCACAAGCTCCACCTTCGCCCCCAGCCCCTGCAGAGTCTACACTCTGAACAAGGCTATTCTTACCCGTCAATGCCAGGCGGCATGTGCAGGTCGATCAGCAACATGGCAAATGCATTTGGGGAGCTTAAGCTCAATCTTTCCAGTGCCTTCTCTCCACTCCCCACAAGCTCCACCTTCGCCCCCAGCCCCTGCAGAGTCTTCCTCGCCACCATCCGGTTCACCGCGTTGTCATCCACCACCATCACCTCCCGCCCGCTAAGCATTTCTTTCAGCAAAGCGGCAGCGTCTTCGGGTTTCACGAGGCCGAGCGCGGCTTTGGAGCGGAATTGCGGGGACTTGGGGCGTGGAGGGGTGGAGGGGGCGAGGGAGGAGACGGCGGAGGGGTCGGCTGGCGCGACGTGATTGGTGGAGGTGTCGGAAAGGTTGTCTGATTGGTCGATGGGGGCAAAGAGCTGAAAAATGGGCAGGAGGAGAGAGGAGAGGAGAGGAGAGGAGAGGAGAGGAGAGGAGAGGAGAGGAGGGCAATGCAGGGAGAAGTGGGGGATAAAGGAGGGTTGGTGAGAGGAGGAAAGGAATGCAAACTGACAGTATACAATCACCAAAGCTCGTGGCTAGCAAGCATCGGGAGAGACTGCACGCATGGCGCTCGCAGTGGCACTCAGTGCATCAACCAAGGAACCCGCGTGATAGTAATCTAGTTTTGAGACGTCTCAAAACTGCAGACTGCATGCATGGTGCTCGCAGTGGCACTCAGTGCATCAACCAAGGAAACTCACAGCATGCAGGCACTGGGCGAGGTCAGCCACGAGGCACAGCTGGGGGAGGGTATCGGCAAAGCCACCGCCAGCGAGCGCCCTGGCGTAGCGTTGGCCAATGACCAGTGAAAGCACTCACCGAGTGAAAGCACCCTCTGAAAGGAGCACTCACCGCATGCACGCACTGGGCGAGGTCAGCCACGAGGCACAGCTGGGGGAGGGTATCGGCAAAGCCACCGCCAGCGACAAGGCACACGAGGTGACTCGGGCAATCAAGGGACTCACCGCGTGCAGGCACTGAGCAAGGTCGGCAACAAGGCAGGGCTGGGGGAGCGTGTCGGCAAAGCCTGCTGCGAGCGCTCTGGCGTAGCTCACACCCGCACAGCCCGGCCCTGTTAGCACCAGCGGGGGGAGACTGCACGGCACAGGAGGTGGCTGCGGGGGTGATAGCGGCGGCGATGGTAGCGGTGATGCTGCTGATGGTGGTGGTGATGGTGGTGCTGCTGATGGTGGTGGTGATGGTGGTGCTGCTATGGACGATAGAGATGTTGTTGCTGTTGCCACAACGCTGTTGGTTGCATGGGATAGACCCGCAGGGAGAGGGATAGAGGCGGGGAGAGGTGGGGAAACGGGAGCACGGGCAGCGGCACTAGCGGAGTGGAAGAGAACGAGGCTGCGGTGGTCAAACTTGATCCGACGGCCAAAACCGATCCCCGACTTGCTCGCCGCAGCATCTGAGCCGTTCGCGGGCTTGCCCTGCGCTCCCACATCGGTGCTGCTGCTGATCCGTGGCTTGGGGTTTCCACCACTGCTGAAAGCATCTGCTTCAACAAACACAACGTCCCATGGTCCCTCCATCTCCTCCTCTTCTTCCTCTTCCTGTTCCTCTTGCTGCACCTGTTCTTCCTGCTCTTCCTGTTGTTCCTTCTCTTCCTCCTCATTCTTCCTGCTCTGCCCCACTTCCTCCCCCTTCGCCTCCCCTTCGTCCCTTCCCTCCCCTACTCCGTCCCGCTGTCCCCTCCCCTTCCCCTCCCCCGCTCCCTCCCCCTTCCCCTTGCCCTTGCCCCTCCTCGCCCTCCTCCTCGCCTCTCCCATCCTCTTCTCTGCAAACCGCCACGCAGCTTCCGGCTGCCGTCCCAGAATCTTCCGCGTGGCTTCCTCGTGTGTGCCTGCAACAGCAGCTTGCACGCCTAGGTACCTAAGGGCTGTGATTGTGGCCTGTGTGAGGTGGGAGGGGGGAGGAGAGCAGAGAGAGGGAAAGGGATGGAGAGCAAGAGAGCGAGGTTGAGAAGCAGGAGAGGAGAGTAGATGAAGTAAGGCTGAGTGTGCCTGCGAGTCGCATGATGCGACAGCAGCACTCGTGCGTGGGTAATTTGAGAATTCTCAAAAACCAGCTCGCATGATGCGACAGCAGCACTCGTGCATGGGTAATGAAAAGGGCTATGACTGTGGTCAGGGAAGGACGATGATTGTGGTCAGGGAAGGAAGATGAGAGGAAGAGGGAAGGACGATGAGAGGAAGAGGGAAGGAAGGCTGCAATGGAGCTCAAAGGTGCGACATTTTTGAGACGTATCAAGACTTACAAAGATCTAATGAGAAACACTCACCTCTGCCCCTCAGCCCTTATCACGCTCACTCACCTCTGCCCTCACGCCATCCCCATCCACCACGAGCGCCCGCTTCCCCTCCACCACCTCCCTCGTGGCCCACTTCATGTCCACCCATACCATAGCCTCCTCCATCCCCTCCTCCATCCCCTCCTCCTCCTCCCCTTCCTCCTCTCCCTCCCCCTCCCCTTCCTCATCCTCCCCGACTGCTGCTCCTGTGGGTGGTGCCACGTGGCGCGCTTTCATTGGCAGGGCGACCATGATGGTGGAGCCCACGTGGTCCTGTGTGGCCACGCCCATGCACCCGCGCATGAGGCTCACCTGGGACGATGGAAAAGCAGAAAGAGGAGGGCAACAAAGGGGGAGGGTGGGAGAAAGAATTGAGAGAAACAGACGCCTGGATGGCCGTACCCATGCACCCGCGCATGAGGCTCACCTGGGACGATGGAAAAGCAGAAAGAGGAGGGCAACAAAGGGGGAGGGTGGGAGGAAGAATTGAGAGAAACAGACGCCTGGATGGCCGTACCCATGCACCCGCGCATGAGGCTCACCTGGGACGATGGAAAAGCAGAAAGAGGAGGGCAACAAAGGGGGAGGGTGGGAGGAAGAATTGAGAGAAACAGACGCCTGGATGGCCGTACCCATGCACCCGCGCATGAGGCTCACCTGGGACGATGGAAAAGCAGAAAGAGGAGGGCAACAAAGGGGGAGGGTGGGAGGAAGAATTGAGAGAAACAGACGCCTGGATGGCCGTACCCATGCACCCGCGCATGAGGCTCACCTGGGTTAGGAGAGAGCCGAAAGTGAAGGGGGAAAGTGAAGGGGGAAAGTGAAGGGGGAAAGTGGAGGGGGAAAGTGAAGGGGGAAAGTGAAGGGGGAAAGTGAAGGGGGAAAGTGAAGGGGGAAAGTGAAGGGGGAAAGTGGGAAGTGAGGAGCAAGGAAGGAAGGCAAGGTGGGGGGCGGATTAAACACCTGTGTGCCCACGCCCATGCCCTCCTTCTACTCACCCCAATCGCTCGCCACATTTGCAGACAGAAAGAAGCGCACAGGGTACGGCGTCCACGCGTCCCCTCAGCACTCCCCTTGGGACCTGCCCTCAGCATCCCACCACTCACCAGGCTCGCAGACAGCAGGAAGCGCACAGGATAAGGCGTCCACGCGTCCTGAAACCCCTTGCCACCGCGCGCATTCCCCGACGCACTGTCATCCCCTGCGCCCATCACACGCCTGAGCAGCCTCCCCGGCAGCGAGGTCAGGAGGGAGGAGAAGGCAGTGGAGGCGGAAGTGTGCTTGGTGGGCGCATGTGTGGTGGCGCTAGCACTGCTGTCGGCACCAGCTGGCTGGATGTATGCATTCATCTGAGAGAGAGACAGGAAGGGAGGGGGACGAGAGGAAGAAAGGAAGAAGGGGGGAGGGGTTAGGGGGGGTTGAATTGACTGAAACGTTACTGCTGTCGGCACCAGCTGGCTGGATGTATGCATTTATCTGAGAGGGAGACAGGAAAGGAGGGGGAAGAGAGGAAGAAGGGGGGAGGGGTTAGGGGCGGTTGAATTGACTAAAAATTTTACTGCTGGCAGCTCCTGCTGGTTGCATGTATGCATTCATCTGATTCCGAGACAACGGTGAAGGGGAGGGACGAGGAGTGGAGGGGGAGGTGACTTTTGAGGTGCCTCAAATTCTGCACGCATGAATTCATCTGGAGCGTACCAAGGGGGGGGAGGGGGAAGGAGGAGGAGCGCAGCAACAAAGGAAAAGGAGAAAGGAGGGTATGGGGGAAGCAGTGAGAAAGGAGCGAGCGTGGGGCAAAAGGGAGCGAGAGTAGTGGTGAGACGTCTCAAAACTACACTTTTATCACGTCGCAAGAACCCATGCTACCTGCTGCCACTCACCTCCTCCTCTTGCACAAACTCCCCATGGCCTTCAGGGTCCAGCACCCACCGCATCTCCTCCCACGGAATGCCACACCCCGTATCCTCACACGCCATCACAAGCTGAACTCGCCCCATACCCCTCCTCCTCCCCCTCCTCCTCATCCCCTTCCCCCCCTCACTCCTTCGCCCCGTCCCCCCGCCTCTCCCGCCCCCTGATCCTTCCTCCTCCTCCTCTTCTCCGTCCGTTTCAGCCACGGCCGAAGCGAAGATCATGGGTTGGCAGAAACGAGCTGCCGACCGCCGAACCTCGCGGCAAGCCTCGGCGGTGAGGGGGTGTGGGATGGGTGGGTGAAGCATCCAGGGCTCGGGCTCAGGGAACGAGTCAGGCTCGTTGCCGAGCCTGGGATCAGCTGGGAAAGCTTCCATGGCACATGTGGATTGACCTGGTTGACCGGGTTGACCGGGTTGACCAGGGTGACTGGAGTGCGGTTGGGTACAGGAGCACATGACCCCAGCTACTGGCGAATCAGAGAAGCGAGGATCGTCCTGCAGGGGGAGAGAGAGAGGGCAGAGAAGAGAGAGAGAGAGAGAGAGAGAGAGAGAGAGAGAGAGAGAGAGAGAGAGAGAGAGAGAGAGAGAGAGAGAGAGAGAGAGAGAGAGAGAGAGAGAGAGAGAGAGAGAGAGGAGAGAGAGAGAGAGAGAGAGAGAGAGAGAGAGAGAGAGAGAGAGAGAGAGAGAGAGAGAGAGAGAGAGAGAGAGAGAGAGAGAGAGAGAGAGAGAGAGAGAGAGAGAGAGAGAGAGAGAGAGAGAGAGAGAGAGAGAGAGAGAGAGAGAGAGAGAGAGAGAGAGAGAGAGAGAGAGAGAGAGAGAGAGAGAGAGAGAGAGAGAGAGAGAGAGAGAGAGAGAGAGAGAGAGAGAGAGAGAGAGAGAGAGAGAGAGAGAGAGAGAGAGAGAGAGAGAGAGAGAGAGAGAGAGAGAGAGAGAGAGAGAGAGAGAGAGAGGAAAAGAGAGAGAGAGAGAGAGAGAGAGAGAGAGAGAGAGAGAGAGAGAGAGAGAGAGAGAGAGAGAGAGAGAGAGAGAGAGAGAGAGAGAGAGAGAGAGAGAGAGAGAGAGAGAGAGAGAGAGAGAGAGAGAAGAGAGAGGAGTGGGAGGCAGGGTGGGTCGGGGAGGAAGTAAGCAAGCAAAAGGTAGAACTGGTTAGCACGAAGTACCTAAACAACTGTATCAACTTGAGACAGGCTGTATTGGGGGTACCTGGGACAGGCTGTATCTCTCAAGTACCTGAGACAGGCTGTATCTCAAGTACCTGGGACAGGCTGTATCTCAAGTACCTGGGACAGGCTGTATCTCAAGTACCTGAGACAGGCTGTATCTCAAGTACCTGAGACAGGCTGTATCTCAAGTACCTGAGACAGGCTGTATCTCAAGTACCTGAGACAGGCTGTATCTCAAGTACCTGGGACAGGCTGTATCTCAAGTACCTGAGACAGGCTGTATCTCAAGTACCTGAGAAAGGCTGTATCTCAAGTACCTGAGACAGGCTGTATCTCAAGTACCTGAGACAGGCTGTATCTCAAGTTCCTGAGACAGGTTGTATCTCAAGTACCTGAGACAGGCTGTATCTGAAGCTCGCTTTGCAGCAGTCATCTGATAATCCACTCCTGCCGCCCATCTCCCGCCCGCTGCCGCCCATCTCCCGCCCGCTGCTCTGTCTCCAGCCAAAACAGCCAATGCGACCAGCAGCAGCAACCCCATTAGTAGCATCCTCACTACTAGAACCATTGTTGCCACCAGCATCCCTAGCCGCAGCACCACAGCATTCCGCACTGCCACACCTCGTCATCCGAGCCACTAGTTCCTCCCTTTGCCGTTCATCCGCAATATAAGCATCCTCGTTTGCAGCAGCAGTAGCAGCCACTTTACCACCGTACACGCCCCCCGCTACGCCTCCTTCAATCTCCTTGTCCTCTCCCCTAACCTCCAAGCCTTGGATCCAGGCCTCCAGGTCAGGTTCGGTCGATTCGGCAACGGCTTGGACAGGCACGGGAGCGGGCACACACCAGAGGTGGAGGATTACCCGACCTGACACGGTGTTGCGGATGGCGTGGCCTGGATGTTGGGGGAAGGGGGAACGGGGAGGGAATGGTGAAGGGAAGCGCAGGGAAGGGGAAGGTGGGGGGGATAAAGGAGGGGGAGGGGAATAAGTGGGTGCCTTACGACCAGATAGACAGCAGCGCGCGCACACCACACCACAGGTGAAGGATGGGATCTCAGAAGAGCAATAGGGTTGTGTGCAGTCATGGTGCACTCACTGATGAGTTCTCGCATGACCTGCCCCACTCGCATGGGGTAGCGGTCGCCTATAAGCCTATCTTTTAGTCAGATCAAGAAACGGTATGAGAGAGAGCAATAGGGTTGGTATTACTCACTGATGAGTTCTCGCATGACCTGCCCCACGCGGGTGGGGTCGCCTATGAGCACATCCGGCACACTGGCATGCATCCTCACCATGACTGCACAAGAGGAGGGAGGGAGGGAGGAGGGAAGGGGAAAAAAAGTGGGGGAGAGTGATAGGGCAAGAGAGAAAAGAGGAGAAAATGTGTTTGGTTGTGTCTTGTGGCATGACTTGCCCCATGCGCGTGGGGTCATCAATGAGTACGTCTGCCACATTCGCATCCTGCATATGACTGCTCGAGGGGGAAACGAAGGAAGGGAAGGAAGGTTGAGGGGTAGGAGAAGTAGTGAAACTTGGATAGGACTCACACTGGAGACATTTGAAAAAGTTCATGATTCCAGGGGCAATGTTTCCCCCCACCACCTCGAAAGTTCAGGGATTTTAGGGGCGGTTTTGTAATGAGCACGTTCCTGAAAAACTCACACTGCAGGTTCTTCTTGTGGGCGTCCGGCATGAGGGCGCGCACTGCCAGGTCAGCACACTGGTGGGGACTGAACGGGAAGGCCTCCAGCACCAACCGCTTCGCCTGGCACACAGTGGGAGGGATTGGGGGGAGGAGAGTAGTGGGGAAGAGTGGCGGAGGAGGGGAGTGGTGCGGCAAGGGGGTTAGTGGGGAGAGGGGTAATTGCGCAAAGAGATCAGGTGTAGTTCGGTTCACACCTTACAAGTACGCATGGCCCCACCATAGTGCCCCACAACCCCACAGCCCCACCCCCTTTGACCCCAGCCCCACCCCCTTTGACCCCAGCCCCACCTGCAGCTTGGCCAAATCCAGAACACTATTGAGCAGCCTGATGGCCTCCACAGCACAGGTCTTGGCGTCCAGCAGATCTTGGCACACATCTTAGCATCCAGCAGGTCCCGATGCTGCCACTCTGACAGACTCGACTCCAGCAGCCAGTCCATCATCCCTAGCATCCCCAGCATCCCCGGCATGTCAGCCATACCTTTAGCGCGCAGCCCCACCTTGCAGCAAGGTACGGCAGACTCACCTGCAGTTTGGCGAGGTCCAGCACGCTGTTGAGCAGCCTGATGGCCTCCACGGCACACGTATTGGCATCCAGCAGGTCCCGGTGCTGCCACTCCGACAGACTCGACTCCAACAGCCAATCCATCATCCCTGGCATCCCCAGCCCAGACCCACCTTGTCAGCCGTACCTGTTGCCCACAGCACACCTTGCTGCCATGCCACAGATGGGTGAAGCCTCAGTCCTACTCACCTGCAGCTTGGCCAGATCAAGCACGCTGTTGAGCAGCCCTATAGCCTCCACGGCACATGTCTTTGCATCAAGCAAATCCCGGTGCTGCCACTCTGACAGACTCGACTCCAACAGCCAGTCCATCATCCCTAGCATCCCCGTTATAGGCGTCCTCAGCTCATGCGACAGGTTCGCGACGAATTCACTCTTGGACCTTTCCGCCTGCTCCAGCGCGAGCGTATACTCCTCCACCTCCGCCATCTGCTGCCGTATCCTCGCCTTCTTCCGCGCAAGCGACACTATGATAAACGTCAGAAGGATGGCTACGAGAAGCACCAGCAGCCCGAGGAGCATGGGAGCGAGGAGAGTGCCCCAGAGAGGCGGAGGGTGGCGGTAGCGGCAGTGGCCCTCGTAGCGGCGGCCGATGAAGTCGTCGGGGAAGGGCTGCACGACCTTGTCGCCCGGGGGGATGGGCGCGGGCAGCACCATGGGGTAGATGGGGTTGGTGCCCGTGGCGGGCTGTGTGTCCCCGAACACCATGAGCGGGTTGGACGCGTTCGTGACGTCATACATTGTGAATGACATGGCGGTCGAGTTGCCTGATGGAGGGGGGAGAGGGGGAGGGAGGGGGATGGGGAGGGGGAGGGGGAGGGGGAGGGGGAGTGGGAGGGGGGTGGGGAGGGGGAGGGGGAGGGGGAGGGGGAGGGGGAGGGGGAGGGGGAGGGGGAGGGGGAGTGCGAGGGGGATGAGGATGGGGAGGGGGAGAGGGAGAAGGGGAAAGGGGAGAAGGGGGAGTAAGAGGGAAAGGAGAGGGGAGAAGGACGGGTGGGAGAAGGAACGTACATGTAAGGAGTACACAAGACGTACGTGTATCGAGTAGACACAGCATACCTATATAGAGTACAGACAACGTACCTGTATCGAGTACAGAGTAGAGTGTGTGCTTTATGAGCGCCTCGGCGTCGATGCCAGGCGCAAGGAAACCCGCCAGTGCTGCCAGAACCTCCTCTGACGTGGCGTTGTCGTCGATTGGGTGACGCAACACTGGAATGCCGAAACCTGATGACATGACAAGCAGACAAACACAGACACAGGCACACACACACACACAAACACACACACACACACACACACACGCACACACACGCACACACATGCACACACACACACACACACATGCACACATGCACACACACACACACACGTATGTACACACACACACACACTCACTCTCTCTCTCTCACACACACACACACACACGCACACACATGTACACACAAAGCATACGCAAGTCCACAAGCACGAGACAGCAAAAGGCAGATATATCTCTCGACCAATCAAGCGAAACCCCAGGAGCACATGGACACAACCGCAACCGCAACCCCTCCCCTCGCTACTCCCTACGTGTTTCTCGCGTCCTTCCCTCCTCCAATCACCTTTCTCCTTCCACCGACCCGATGCGGCACCCACCAAACCTCACCTGTGAAGCGACTGAACCCATTTTCCACTGACCGAACCCCGAGCCCAATTCACCATGCAGCAGCACCACACTCACTCAACCCAATTCCAGCCTCACGGCCCCACCCACACAACCGAGTCCCAATCCCAGGCCCCCAGTCACTGGAACCAATGTCGCCGTTTCGAAAGTGGTGAGGTGGGCTGCCGCGGCTCTTCCACTTGGTGTTGAGGTTGGTGCAGCCCTCGCCAAAGCCCACTCAATGAACCAAAAATACAGAGACCCAATCCCAATCCCAATCCCAATCCCAATCCCCACTTACTGAATCCGATATCACCATTCCGGAACCGGTACGGGGGGCTGCCGCGGCTCTTCCACTTGGTGTTGAGGTTGCTGCAGCCCTCGCCGAAGCGATCTGTATAATCAGTGCACTGCGGCCAGTTGTAGAAGGGGCTGAACTGGAACAGGTTCACCACGTAGCAGTCCTTGCGCGCGCTCACTTTCGCCTCCAGGCTGTTGATGCTCTGAAACTGGCACCCCAGCGACTTCTCTATCATCGGCCTGGGGGACGGGGGGGGGGGGGGGGGGTGTGTGGAGGAAGAGAGGAGGGAGTGCGGAGGGAGAGGGGAGGGTTGGACGGAGACGCGACAGTTGCGCCTGGAGGCTGTTGATGCTCTGAAACTGGCACCTGAATGTACCTGTCCTGCCCGTCGACCAAGGCGAGCCAGGCGTTGGTCATCCAGGGAGGGCTTGGCGTACTGCGAACTGTACAAATAATACGTATACATGAATCACTTTATGGTGCCCTGTCCACTGAGACGCACGCACCTGTCCTGCCCGTCGACGAAGGCGAGCCAGGCGTTGGTCATCCAGGGCTTGGCGTACTGCGTTTCCACGGCGTATCTGATCCACGACCGGTTGTTGAGGCACCCCGTGTACCCCCAGTACGCCAGGTCCGGCGCCTTGGGGCCGAACCCGTTGAACACCTTGATCAGCCCCACGTTCACCTGCGCAGTGGAGGGGCGGGAAGGGGCGGGGAGGCGCGGGGAGGCGCGGGGAGGCGCGGGGAACGCGGGGATGGGGGGAATGACTGTTGAGGCACCCCGTGTACCCCCAGTACGCCAGGTGGGGCCGAACCCGTTGAACACCTTGATCAGCCCCACGTTCACCTGCCCGCCGGGAGAGGGGGAGGGAAGCGTGGGGGGGAAGGGGGGCGGGGGGAGGAGTGCGGGGAACGCGGGAAATCGGGGCGGGAGTTGGGGGGGGAATAAGAGGTGGGGTAGAGCGGAAGGTGCAGAGAACGCAGGGCATGGGCAGTATGCGGGGGATACGGAATATGGGGGTTTAAGGTCGACTCAATGGTGTCCTCTTCGGGCCGAAGCCATACCCTAATGAGCTCCACAGGATCAGGGGGCATTGGTGGGATGCGGGGGATGCGGCTGATGCGGGGGATGCGGGGAACGCGGGGGGCACGGGGGGCGTGGTGAATGCGGGGAACGCGGGGAATGCGGGGAATGCGCGGAGAGGACGAATGCTTAGGGGTAAATCGGAGGAAACACTCGGGGATGGAGACGGGAAGGAGACGAGGGGAAACCGTCGCGCATGCGGGGAGGAAAGGGAACACGATGCACGCGGGAGGGAGTGAAGGACGCGAAAGGCCGCATCATGATTCCACGTAATGTAGCTTACAGATCTTGCTTCCAGGCGACCTAAAACACGGGGAAACACGATGCATGCTGTCAACTGTGATAGCGAGATGGAAACGCGAAAACCAGAACACGCAGCAGCATAGCAGGCAAGCTAGGTCTACGAAACCCCACAGGCGCGCGCGCGCGCGTGCACCGCACGCGGCGAATGAGCGCATGAAGTGACCTGACGAGAGATCTGTCGCACACACCTCAGCGTGGTTCAAGTTCGATGCGATTTCTTGATCCAGGTATCGCACGCGCGCGAGGCACCACGACGTGAGGTCCGCGTTTAGCGGATCGAGCGCCGCTTTCCGCGTGGACCATATTACGAAGATGGAGAGAGCTAACCACCCGAGAGTCCAGGCTATCAACGCAGGCATCCACCACGACACTGCGACGCGCGTCCCCATAGCTGAATCGGGCGGCTATTGGCTAAATCGAAGAGTTACTGGCTGAATTTGACGGCTATTGGCTAATTGAAGGGCTTTGGCTGAATCGGAGGGACGCGAGTAACGTCAAATAAATATATTCAGTATAGGACGTATATAAAGATCGTAGGAAGAAGTTTCACATAGTGAACGTAGGTATTGCGGCTGAATGCGGTACCGCGAAGAGGACCTTTCTGAGTTAGTGGTGAGAAAATACCGCAGTCAGCCTCACAGGTTAGTGAGGCTGGTTACTCCAAAAAAGAACCGCTTTGCACCTTCCCGAGGGAAATCTCGAGCATCGTTCCTTGCAAATGCAAGGCGGTCGTTCAGAAACACCAAAAAACAGCACCCATCAACCCCACCGCCCCTCACAAAATGCTCCAATCGCGTGACAAACTAAAAAAGGACCGCCTTTGGAATATTGTCTCCCATGGCAGAGGTGAATCCACGAGAAATGTGAGAACTAATTGCCTCAGTTGACCTTGCATCATCACAAGTGCTTATTCCATGAGGCACCGCCAGAGCGCCGCTGTCTTCACCGACACTGCCGCTCGCTGCGTGTGCCTGTCTGCCTAACTTCCATATCCACCGCAATTGCGAACAATAGATTGAACAAGAGGAGGTGCTGAACCCGTAGACAAGCCAAGCTCCCGCGTTAGCCCCGCAACCACACGCCCGCTCCGGCCAAACCAAGCCAAGCCCAAACCGAGGGGCTTGGTTGGTCATACGTCCGGCCACCTCAGCGTGGTGTGGGCCGGTTTGTTCGGAACGGCTTCGCCCGCCCCACCATGTCAGACCAGATCGCATTACGTATCAAGGTTCCTCGCGTGCAAAAGTGGTTGCATGTGTGTTGGATGGAATGGATGGAACCCCTCGAAACAAAACCAAATTGCAGGTGTGGTTCATTGCTCTTTATCGAATTCCACAAAGGTTTAGTCGGGTGTACAAAGCTCACAATTTCCGTCTGTCTGGGAACATGGAGTCGAGCCAGCCAGCCCAAGACAGCTGTTCTTGCTCCTCGGGTATCCCCATCCAAGCCAAGGCATTTGTCTCCCAAACCAGTTCAATTTCTTCGATAAATTTGTATTTCATATTCCTGAGCTCAACGCGATTTACAACGTTCAATATCGAACACTATAGTTTGTCATGCAACCTCTCCCCGAGTCAGACCACACACGATTGAAAGTTACACGAGCTCCCTTCAGGTGCTTCGTCAACAAGATCTGCTCATGCGGCTTGATCTTGATGTGCTGTACACTGGATTCGTATTCGATTTGCAATGACTCGGAGTACAGAATACAGCGATTTGCAATAACTCGGAGTACAGAATACAGTTGGAAGAGTACGTGTAAGGTTTACGGGTTTCTAATGTACCGGGATGCGTCAGGGGCATGGGGGTCGCAATGGTGGAGCCACTGGTGCTTTACAGTACGTGATGTGTCAGATTGTACACGTGTGGAGAACACTCGAAAACAAAAACCCGAGCCCTTCCTCTCACCCCCAAATCCAAGGCAGCCATTCCGTACCACCGCCTGTGCCATCTCAAATGCAGTCGTCCATTTGCCCAGCGTAACGCAACGTTTGGAAGTCATAGACGGGGTGCTGGGGGAAGTGTCGAGAAATCGGAGCAGGGCTGTCGATAGCAGGCCTGTCGATTCAAGGGCATATGCCCTTAATGCCCTGAACATTAAGGACTAGTTTCGCTGCAGCTCCAATGCGTCATTCAGATTCGCACCCCACCCGTGCCACTAAGTGCTTCATTCGACCCTTCCCCGGATGCGTTAAGGGACGAAACCTGGCCTTCCCATTTAGCTAAGTTATGGTTTCCGATCGTAGGACCCCCCCACCCCCCACGGTGCCCGAGACTCTCCCCCCCCCCCCTTCCTCCTTAGCGTGCACTAGAGCGCGCCAAGGGGATTTTTTCCCTCAGCGTTTTATAGCCAATCTCGTGTGTGTAGTGTGTCTCAGTCAGCCTTGGAGCGCCCGAACATTCCCTTGGCGTCCAATACAAGTTGGTCGCAGTTCACAGCTGTGACACATAGGGTTAGCTTGGATTTGCCACAGAGAACTCCAACATGCGAAGATAAAACTCTACAACGGCAGTGAGCTAGACTACAGAGGTTGGCACGAACTACTAGAGGTGATCTTAGCTTTGCTTGGTTCCTTAGTGTTTGCACATTCACTGAAAAATTTGGCAAGAGTTTTCACTAGCAAAGTTGGAATTCCAGAATGATAGGCAAGCAAAATTACAACAATGACTACATCAGGCCCCTAGCAACCCTGCTGCTAGCCTGGTCGACCGCCTGCCAGCGTTGCGTAGAGGAGCTGCGCCAGCACTGTGGAAAGACGACCTGCCAACAGAGCAGGTCGACGGCGTGCCAACATTGCAGCAGAGCGGCTGTCTGCGGAGATAAATTCTACAACGGTAGTGAGCTAGACTACAGGGGTTGGCACGAACTACTAGAGGTGATCTTAGCTTTGCTTGGTTCCTTAGAGCTTGCATATTCACGGAAGAATTTGGCAAGAGTTTCCACTAGCAAAGTTGGAATTCCAGAATGATACAAGAAGCAATGACAACAATGACTACATCAGGCACCTAGCAATTCTGCAGCTAGCCTGGTCGACTGCCAACGCAGCTCGGTCGACCGCCTGCCAGCATTGCGTAGAGGAGCCGCGCCAGCATTGCAGAAGGGCGACCTGCCAACAAAGCAGGTCGACGGCGTGCCCCGTAGAACACAGCAGTGCGCGCGCTCGCAGGTGTGCGCAGACGATTGGCCCGACTTGCCTCGTTGGGCATCCGTCGGCTGTTGTCTGCGCCTGACGAGCCACATCGACTTCGGGATACCAGCCCGAAGTCGCCTGCGCCATCGCGATCTCGACGACGTTCGCGTGCCTCCGCAGAACTCGTCGAGCAGGTTACCCGGTCGACCTGGTCGACCCCTGGTGCTCTGGTCGACTCCCAGGTGCCTCCCGTCGACCACTGGGTCCCTCTGGTCGACCACCGGGCGCTCCTGGTCGACCACACCTCCCGTCAAGCTACCCCTTGGTCGACGGACCCCTTCCGTCGACCAGAACTGCTCCGTCGACCTCCCGGTCGAACTGCAGTTCGACGGGATGCTCCGTTGTCCTCCTGGTCGAGCTGCAGTTCGACGGGACGCTCCGTTGACCTCCCGGTCGAGCTGCAGTTCGACGGGACGCTCCGTTGGCCTCCCGGTCGAGCTGCAGTTCGACGGGACGCTCCGTTGACCTCCCGGTCGAGCTGCAGTTCGACGGGATGCTCCATAGACCTCCCCGTCGAACTGTAGGTCGACGGACTGCTTCGTCGACCTCCCGGACGGCTCACCCGTCGCCCAGGCCAGTCAGGTGCAGCTGTCGAGCACCCTGGTCGACAGCAACACCACAGCGGTCCGCTGCAGCTCGACGTAACCTGTCGAGCAGCTATCCCACTGTGAGCGGTCGGCTGCTACTCCCGTACATCCGACCAAGTTGTCGGCGTTGCCCAAGCGAGGGCGGGGCCAACACTCCATTCCCGTTAACACTCCCCGGCCGCGCTCACGCTTGGGCCTCCAGCCCTCACGGCAGTACTCCACGGAGAGAACTCGTCCTCGGCGTGCACCCCACACACAGCATGCCGTCACCGCACCAGCCGTGCAGAAGGGCACGGCACCTACTGCTGCACCTCGTCGTCGCCGTCGCCGACGTCGACCAGACGAACTTGGCCGATGGCGACAGAGCACCGGTTGAAAGCCGGAAAATGCAGCGCCTTCGTCAGGAAATCCGCCGGTTGCTCGGTGGTCGGGATGTAGTTCAGCACAAATTTCCCGCGCCTCACCATGTTCTGCAGCCACGCGTAGCGTCGCTCCATGTGCTTGAGGTTGCCCGTCAGCCCCAAGCCCTCAGCGACAGTGATTGCCGACTTGTTGTCGACGCGGAGGATGGTCGGCTTCCCAGCGTCGAGCAGCTTGAATTCCGCAAGGAGGAAGCGAAGTCGACGCCCCTCCTTGCCGGCAACCGTGGCCGCCACGTACTCCGACTCGGTCGATGATAATGTCGCGCACTTGATGCGCGAGCTCGACCAAGAGACGGCGGCCCCTCCGTAGACGAACACGTAGCCTCCCGTGCTCGTCCGGTTCTGCTTGTCGCCCGCGTCGTCGGCATCGACGTAGCCGATCAGCTCCAACGATTCTGGTCCACCGCCGAACTCCAGGGCGGTGTCGCGGGTGTCGGCGAGGAAGGCGAGGCAACGGTCGACCTCACGCCAGTGCTGGTCGCTCCTCACCGTGAGGCCGCTCCCCAACTTGCTGCAGGCGAACGCAATGTCCGGCCTCGTCGTCGTCGCCGCGAACTGTAGCGAGCCGACCTTCTGCCGGTACTCCTCCTCTTCGCGCTCCTGGGCCTCCTCGTTGTCGAATGTCAGCTGAGCGTAGGCGTCGACCGAGACCGGCGTCTTCGAGACTCGACCACCCTGCTCCTTGTCGACGAAGCGCCTGCGCAGCTTGTCGGCGTAGCCCTGCTGGTGCAGCCACAACTTCCTGGCCGGCCTATCGCGCACGATCTCCAGCCCAAGGTACTTCTCCACCGGCGAGATCTCACGCAGCTCGAAGGCGGCCTCCAGCAGCTCCTTCAGCTCCTTCAGCATCGCGGTGCTGCTGCTGGCGGCGAGCAGGTCGTCGACGTAGACCAACACCCAGCAGGTCACACCGTCGTCGCCGGTCTTGAAGTAGAGCGCCTCGTCGACCTGGCTCTTCTTCCAGCCAGCGCCCAGCAGCACACCATCGAGAGCCCTGTACCATAGCAGCGGCGACTGCTTCAGCCCGTAGAGGCTTTTCAGCAGCTTACACACCCGGCCGGTCCCGTCGTCGAAGTAGTCCGGCTGGTACATGTAGAGCACCCTGTCGAGCTTGCTCTGCAGGAAAGCGTTCTTCATGTCGAGCTGCATCAGGTTGAGGTCGACGGCGACGATGCTGAGGAAGATCCTCAGC